ATAATCATTTAAGATAAAAGTTTTATTTGCCAGTGACCTCACATTCAGCAGAACAATCTTTGTAGAACCAGTAGATGAAGGTAAAGCTGTGCTCGGAGCACAGATCAGCTGTTTCAGAGTTCTGGAGTTTGAACCGCGCCTCCAAGGACCAGAGACGTCGCAGCTGTGCGCACGCCCGCGACGCGAGCCAGGCTCGACTACGGGGATCAGGCAGGACCCAGCAGGATCAACAAAGCACCCGGACAGGCGAATATCCAGCAGATGGTCGGCAGAAGATGATGCAGCAGAAGGACCTGAGTTGGTTAAGTTCCTCTGGAGACAGCCAAAACCACCGTAGCCACGCGCCCGGGCACCTGGAGCGAGCTGGAGTTGAGTGGGTCAGCGAAGCATCCGGATGGACAGTTTAACGTCTGCTGGTCAGTAGCAGATGACGAAGCAGCAGAGAACTTGATGCTGGCTTTAATCCTCACAAGACGGCCGGCACGTCTCCCACGGCGCCTGGAGCGATGTTTTCGGGCGGGCAGAAACGGCGCGCGCTTCAGGTAAACCGGGACATCAACAAGCAGAGGGGGTGGGGGTCCAGAGCCCTGATCAAAGTGGTCAAACAAGGCGGGGTTTGCAGTAGATAACTGTATATTTAAAAGTTGTTGGCGATCATAAACAAGCAGTGCGTTTATGTCACCGAAGAAAAATGACAAAAACAGAAAAAAAACCAATCAGAACAGACAGAGGTGAACGGCAAGCCACCAGCACCGGCGCCATCTTCCCGGAAGTAAATTATTAGCATTAGCCAGGCGGAAATGGCAAAGTCGCACATGCGCAGTCAGGTCAGTTTTTTACGATCAGATAAAAACGAACAGATCAAGTGTTTACATGCGCACCGATCGGGTTACGGATCGGCGTAAACCACCCTTTTCGTTTTGATCACAAATTATATCGGATCGTGCCAAATACATAAAAAATAACCCGAACAGATGTTTACATGACACGCTTTTATTCCGACCGGCCATTTGATCCGGTTACTTATGTCCATGTAAACATACCCAATGTGTGTAGATATGTTCTGAAACAGCCCTGAGTTATCCAAAACCGCTTCAGATTAGGTGACAGGGCCAACATCAATTACCATGGAGAGCAGATGGTTCAAAATGGGCTTACTTCTGGATTCAGCAAACTACCATCTCTCTGACTTTTCTCTGTTCTTATGCGTTTTTAATCAACATACAAAAAAAAAAAAAAGTCAGGATATAAGGTTTTCCGTAGATAAAAATCTAAATAATTCAAAATTAATACAACGCTGTTTTAGACGTGTGTACACGGTGGTTAATTTCAGCCGGATCCTGCCGGAACAAGATCTGGGAACTCTCATTTTGATCGCTCGGATCCGACAACTCAAACCTCCGCCTCTAAAAGTCCAAAGTCATTGCACATTTTTTTTTTAGATTATTTATTAAAAATACAACTAGAGGAGATTTTGCCCATTCTGTGGAGTAGATGTTCTGGCCGCACCACATGCCAGCAGAGACGCAGACTGCATGTCCAGTGGGAGCGTCTTCATCCACCTTCAGCTGTGTACCCTGGTTGTTTTATGCACAGCGTCTCCAGACAGCTCTGCAGGACGCATGCACAACTGCTGTGTCAGAACTCCTGCTTACATTACTGGGGTGAATAACATTTCAGACATAATAAATAAGCTTACAGTAAAAAAAAAAAGAGTGACATGTTTGATGTGTAGTAACATTACATCATGTATCAAAACAACGGCACTAATAAGTCAAAATAACAGTGATCAAAATGTTGAAAAGACCGTCCAGTTTATTATCTAAAATAAATGGATGGATGGATTGTCCTTAGCTGGACAACTGAGAATTGACGCACGTGAAGGCTATTGAGACTGGAGCAGAACAGCGCGCAGGACTGAATTCAGCAGAATTCGGGTCGGACAGTGTGTGGGTGGCTGGGGGAGGGTTGGGGATTAGGACACTTGCCAGAATAGGACCTCCATTCACACACAGGCTTGTTAATTATTGTTGCTCTCTAAAATAGTAATTTAATTTCAACCTTTATTTATACAGGTTGTTAGTCTCATTGAGGCTCGTCATTCACAAGAGACCTGTTTTTAATCAATTTAATCAAATGTTTACAGATGTTTAACAACTTGTTAAAATAAACCAAAATGCAGGAAATGGCATCTCTTTTATTCCAAATTTTCTGGGGGAGGACTCATGGACCTCCCACCACCCCCCATCCCCCACCCCCGCCGGACCACTGCTGTTTTTGTTCTGGCATCAATTAATTTACAAATTAAGCCCTATGTTTACACAAGCAACAAGCTACACGGTGCAGAGCAGAGAGAACTTCCGGGGTCAGACCACTTGTCAAAAATTAAATCAAGATAATCAAAAGTGAGTGCACGTTATCCGAGTTTTCCATTTTCGTTTTGTGCACAACATCGGAACTTTGTGATCCGATTTTTCATTTTGGTTTAATAAACGAAAAAATTATTGTGTTTTTGTTTTTTCATTTTTTGTTTCAAACAAAAAAATGGAACTGCCTGAATGTACACGGACAGACTGGCCTTCGGGAGCTTTCCCCACTCTCAGACGCTCTTTCTCTTTTTGGGATCATTTTGTTTGGACTGCTCTCTGGCTGCCCTTGTTTTTGATTTTTTTGGACTTTGTTTTTCATCTCACTCTTTCTCACCAGGAGCTGTAGGCTGCAGCCCCCGGCCTCAGCGAGATGGTAATTTTTGTTAATTTTTTGTATATGTTTTTGTAATAATTTTGGCCTGGTGGGACCAGTTGTCCTGTTATCGCTTCTTTCTTTTACGGTAGGTGTTTTTTAGTTTTTTTTTTCTTTCTAGTTTTAGTCCAGAACCTGCAGCAACTTTGACTGCCCTGTTTTGTTCTGTTTGACCGGCTCACCAGATCCTTCTCTGAGTTGATACTTTGGGGTTTTGGGTTTTTTGGTGGACATGGGAACTGGGGGTCCCTCATCTTCTTTTTTCCCCCCACAGAAAGCTATTTTTAATAAAGTGAATGTTGAACCCTCATGTTTGAGTCACATGTCCTCCTTATAATATGGTGTGCCCTTGGTAGCCATAACAGTGACAACCTCAATATTTCCTCAATTTTTTTTTTAAATTAATTTGTACATTTTTGAGTAACCTTGTGCACAGTCTACTGCTACAGAAAACTTAACATCCTTTGTGGAGGTAATTACCATGAAAAAATGTATTTTGGACACTAGGAATGCACAATATAAACGGTACACGGTAGAAACGATAGAAATTTAGCCTACGATAGAGATCTGTCTACTACCGGCTAACCGCAGTAATGCTGTGCCTGAAGTAAAATCAGAGTTGTCAGTTTAATCGTTACTTTTTTTAGTTGAAAACTGTGCGCAAGTGGTGTTCAAGTGTAAAATCAGAGCTGTAAGGTTTAATCGTTACTTTTTTTTAGTTGAAAACTGTGCGCAAGTGGCGTTAAAGTCTTTTCTTCGAGAGCTAAGTAGCGAAGCTACAAGCTAACTACAGCCGGCTTGCCGTAGAGTTGCTATATTCTGACGCATGCGCAAAATGCTGTGTTCCGTAGAAAGTTTTGTTGTTTTTTCCATCGAAAGTTAAAGTAAGCGTTGGTCAGCTTTAGAGAAACCTGCTCTCTGATCTGTGAAAAGAACGCTGTGTTGTGTGATTTTACTGCGAGACCCTCTGGTCAAAGCCACAGACTCATTTTGTGTCAGCTCTCCATTAATGTGGAAGGAGTCGTCAACTAGAGGTTTGGAGGATGAAGTGTTTCAGTGTAAAATGCTGCTCTGTTGCTGTTCATTTCTTAAGTAACACTGGAAACTGTTAACAACATATTCTTTTGTTTAAAGCATATGGCTAAAACTACATTTGATATATTTTGCACTGTTTTGCACTACAAGCAAGAAGCCTAATACTTGATTTGTTTATTATTTAAAAACTCTGGACCTAGTATCCTGATGCATGCTTGGACCTGGACCTAGTAGTGTAATTTTCTTAATTCAAAATATATGATAGCAAAAGGACACCCTATGCTTTTTGAAAAATTCCTATCAAGTTTTATACCCAAAACATATTGTGATATATATTGTTATCGCCACCCTTCACAAAACATATCGTGATATGAATTTTATGCCATATCGCACATTCCTATTGGACACTTCTTACCATTTTTAAAATGTTTATGTGAACACAGGGTAAATTAATGACGTAAATTTAGACTGACCCTGGGTTTTTTATCTGCTCAGAGACGGACTGTAATGAGATTATGACCCGGTTCTGACTGGTTTAAATGGGGCCAGCAACTCTAAAAGAGTCTCCCAGGGATTTTATATCTGTCAAGGAATGGAGTTTTTATTTATTTGTTATTTCTTTATTGGCTCGCCACACCAAGTAAAAAGGCTTTTTCTGCACCGTATCCTTTTTCCTGACACCTCAGACCACATAAGATCCCATGAGATCACACTTATTCCGTCCCTCTATCCACTTGATAGGCTGTGCTCCCGGAAGAAGGTGGAGCCTATGCCCAATATAGTTGGAAGGCAACCTGTCATTTGGCCCTTTCAGTCCAAGATCTCGCATCGAATTGTATTGGAGAGGCCAGTGCTGTAAAACTGTAATCTTCTCCTGCCTTGATTTAAGCCAATTGGTAAAACTGAATACACGTTTCCTTGATTTATTGAGAATATGCGAGTTACTACTTCTGAGGGAGTCCGAGCCAGGAGCCGCGTGAGCTGGAGGCGGGCTTGGGGTCCGAGATGAGGCCTGTGGCCCACAGCTAGCAACATCTAGCTGTAGCAGCTCGGTGGGCCCGCAACAGCTCACGTTGCAACAGTCCTAATGATAAAATATTTAGCAGGTTCTGTCAAAATGCACAAATATTCCCTGAAATACTGAACTTTTAAAGGGAACACATCACAAATCAGATAATTTCTGATGTTTTGAAATGTCATTTCAGTGCTGTGTTTTAACTTACCGTCACTACGGAGCACTAGTGGAGTTGGAGGGCCCTGGACACGTGTTTTTGTGACGGTGTTGGTCACAACGCAGGTGTAATTGCCAACATCTGAAGGTTCCACTTTAGCGATGTACAAATTCCCCCTCTCCTGTGAGATGAAGCGTTGCGTGTCCTGCTTCACAAATGTTGGGAACTCATTGAAGATCCAAGAAAATATCAGATCTGTGAATAAATAAATAAATGATTAATTTACCTAAAATAAAAAAGGTTGGAGAAGGCTGACAAAAATAACTGAAATAATTGTGGAGCAACAATAAATTATTGATCATATCAGTAATAAATATATTGACTGAATTGCATCATGCTAAGTGCTAACTTGCAAAGTATTCTTTGTGGCCTTATCAAAAAGGAATAGTTCAAATCTTTTGAATTGGGGTTCTGTAGAAAGGTTATGAACAATAATCATTTTACTTGTTGTAGATAGCTTTTTTAAAATTACAGGTGGGGACAGAGATACATTTTGACAAGACTGATGAGCTAATGACTACTCTGAATGCAATCAAAACCAAACTGGATTGCTGCTGTCTTAAACAAACTCCAATATTAAAATAGTAAATTAAATAATATTCTGTGTGTATATATATATATTAGTGGTGTAACGGTACATGTGGGTGTATTGAACCGTTTTGGTATAGCATGTTCGGTTCGGTCCACGTGTGTATAATTTAGTTTTTTTTTTTGTTTACACTCATTAAATTTATTAACGAGAGATTATGCACAGCGGAACTAAAGTTCCTAAGGGTGTTTCAGCACGGCACTATTAATTGTTGCATAGTCTTGCAGCACACGTAGCATTAGAAGCCTAGCAAGAGACCCTTTCATCTTGTTGCGGTCTCCTGTTTGGGAATATTATGGCTTTCGTGTTAAAACTCACCAGTGGGAAGAGACAAGTGCAAATCCAAAGCTGTGTGTCAACGTTGTTTCACGGAGATTGGTTCTGCAGCAAGCAACACGCCTAACTTGTTAACGCACTTGATCAGGTAATTCAGAATGGTCCAAAGCAATAACACAAGCTGTAGGAGTTTTTAAAGCTCTGGATCTATGTCCGAATGTTGTTGTTGATGCGCCAGTTTTAAGCATATGATTAAAGTTCTTGAGCCCCGTTGCCTACGGCATTCCATCATGTCAACACTTCAACCAAAAAGTTGTAGCAGCACTTTATGAAAAAGCTAAAACTGATCGTCAACAAGCCCAACCCCAGATTTAAAGCCCTGCCCTGATGATGATGAGCGAGAGAAGATATTCGACCACCTTATAACAGAAATGATGACCGTGCAAGAAGAGGTATTGTTATTGTATTATTATGAACTAATTAACTTTTTTAATTTAAAATTATAATCTTATTAACTCTTTTAAAGTGAACTTTACTAATTGGTTTGGGGTTTTGGTCCTGTCTCTGTCTGTTTCCTCATGTTTCCAGCTCTTAGTGTTTCCCCTCCTTGAGCTCAGCCCCTGTCTCACCTGTGTCTCATGTAATCACCGCAGGTGTCTGTCGTTGTCCCAGTCAGTGTCTGTGTATATATTCAGTTACTCTTCGTCTTGTCTTTGTCTTGGGATTGTCCTCATGGTGTGTTTCTGCCTTCCGTCTTGTGTCCTGGTTCCTTGTGAGTATGCTGTCCTGTCAGCTTCTGTTTTTTGTTTTTGTAAAAATAATTTTTTAAAGTTTTTCCATGTGCCTCCTGTCATCCTCCTGCAATTGGGTTCAACACTTCGTACAGCAGAATACGACAGTTGGCTTCTCTATGTATGTGAATGTTCCTGTAAAGTGCCCTGAGAGAACTTTGTTGTGATTTGGCGCTATATAAATAAACTGAATTGAATTGAAACATACAATGATGAGAACACATAGCACTCTCTTTCTTCTTCTGAAAGACAGAAATGGTAAGATTCTAAAAAGCAAGAGAGAGATTGATTACAAGATGAAAGGGATAGTTTGAGGAGGTAATGAATGAAGAGAATGAAAAGAAAAGATGAGTGGAGGTCATCAAATATGTGTACCAGAAAGTGGGAAAGATTAGTGAGGAAGACGTTCAGGAATATTTGAAGAAGATTAAGAAGGGCAAGGCAGTTGGACCTGATGACATACATAACAGTGGAGGTATGGAACTGATGGTAGTGAGGTTTTAAACTCAACCATTGGATTACATTTTGAGAGTGTGAAGATAGAAGAATAAAGTAAAAGTGTGATGGTGCCTGAATTTAAGAAGGGTGATGAACAGAGTTGTAGCAACTACAGGAAAACTAAGTTGGTGAGCAACAAATTTTAAAATGTGAAAATAAGTTCCTGAAATTCAAATGACTGAAGCCTAAAATTTAAGTCTTCAGGAATGTTTAAAAATTATAAATGGACTGTGAAAATGTGTGACACTGCCTCAATGTATTTAACTTATAGTCGCTGTCTCCATGAAGTCAGACAAGACAGAATACTTTAAGTGGTTTACTTTTCTGGTTTGTTGGGCTTCTAATAAGTAATTTCTAGCAACACACAAAAAAGGAAAACAGTTCCAAAAAGCTGTGGCCAGGACAATTACTGAGAATTTAATAAAACGATAGACAATTTAAAACTATGTTGCAATGCTAATTAATGACTAACTGCTACAGTAGAACAAATTATGTAATTAAGACTCAATTAACCTGGTCAATTGTCCAATTTAGTTGGAGCTGGCATTTCAATGGAGATAAATGCTCAGCAGAAGGAGGAAATGGTAACAAGTGTCTTTAAATATAAAATACACGATTTATATTATCCACTTTCAACAGTGTCTGTTCCATCATTTAACATCGCATCATCTTTAGTGCACTTTTTACAAGGGAATCAGAAATGCAATTGGAAAAATTATTGCAGAGCTGATGAAGCCTTCCGGATCAAAGGTGAAACGTTTCAGCACAAAAAAAGAAACTGTCCAGATGACATGACTGAAAAATGTTGGATTGTATACCTGGATTATTGAGCATGGACTTTGTTGTTCTTATTGCAGAGCTAAGTGGTGCTGTGGTACCTAAAATGAGAGCTAACCTCACTTTACAACCTGGTGTTGGACAGTTTGTGAAAATTGGCATCATACATGATCCATAAATGAAGACAAGAATGCTGTGAGTTAGTCACCCTTTCATAATGCATGACTCCGTTCATATTTCTGCAGCTGTGATCAAAGAACTGGATGGGGCCTGATACACACAGACTCATCTGAAGGTGAGGTTGGATATTAACTGTTTACCAGCAGCTTCATGTTTTTAACATCAACCAAACAACATCAAAGTTCATGTTCATTAATCCAGGTAAAAAATCCAATAACGTTAAGTCAGGTCTTCAGGGTGGTTTCTTTTTTGTTGAAACGTGTGCAGAAATCTTATCACCATTAAACTGGTTGGCCCACTATTGCCCCTTTTCCATTAGTGCCTTTAGTACCGGTACAGCACAGTTTGACTCGGCTCAGTACGATACACATTGTGTTTCCATTATGCTTTCGGTACCGGCTCCAGTTTATATATATATATGCAATGTGGGATGGGTGGTGGCCGAGGGCGGTGACCCTGGTGGTCTGATCCTTGGCTACAGAAGCTGGCTATTGGGACATGGAATGTCACCTCACTAGTGGGGAAGGAGCCTGAGCTGGTGTGTGAGGTTGAGAGGTTCCGGCTAGAAATAGTCAGACTCACCTCTACGCATGGCTCTGGCTCTGGAACCAGTTTCCTTGAGAGGGGTTGGACACTCTACCACTCTGAAGTTGCCCCTGGTGAGAGGTGCCGAGCAGGAGTGGGCGTACTTATTGCCCTCCAACTAGGTGCCTGTGTGTTGGAGTTCACCCCAGTGAATGAGAGGGTAGCCTCCCTCCGCCTACGTGTGGGGGGACGGGTTCTAACTGTTATGCACCAAATGGCAGTTCAGATTATCCACCCTTTTTGGAGTCCTTTGAGGGGGCATTGGAAAGTACACCTCCTGCGTACTCCCTTGTTCTGCTGGAGGACTTCAATGCTCATGTGGGCAATGGCAGTGAGACCTGGAGGGGTGTGGATGGAAGGAACGGCCCCCCTGATCTGAGCCCGAGTGATGTTCTGTTGTTGGACTTCTATGCTCATCATGGATTGTCCATAACAAGCACCATGTTCAAGCATAAGGGTGTCCATATGTGCTCTTGGCACTAGGACACCCTAGGCCGCAGTTCGATGATCGACTTTGTTGTTGTCTCATCTGATCTGAGGCCACATGGCTTGGACACTCAGGTGAAGAGAGGGGCGGAGCTGTCCACTGATCACTAACTGGTGGTGAGTTGGCTCCGATGGTGGGGGAGAATGCCGGTCAGACTTGGCAGGCCCAAATGTATTGTGAGGGTTTCTTGGGAACGTCTGGCAGAGTCTCCTTTGAGACGGAGCTTGAACTCCCACCTCCGGGAGAACTTTGAACATGTTCCGGGAGAGGTAGGGGACATTGAGTCCGAGTGGGCCATGTTCCATGCCTCTATTGTCGAGGTAGCTTACCAGAGCTGCGGCCGCAAGATTGTCAGTGCCTGTCGCAGTGGTAACCCTTGAACCCAGTGGTGGACATCGGGGGTGAAGGATGCTGTCAGGCTGAAGAAGGAGTCCCATCTGGCCTTTTTGGCCTGTGGGACCCTGGAAACAGCTGATGGGTACCGGCAGTCCAAGCGACATGCGACTCGGGTGGTTGCTGAGGCAAAAACTCAGGCATGGGAGGAGATTGGAGAGGCCATGGAGAATGACGTCTGCACTGCTTCGAGGTGATTCTGGTCCACCATCCGGCGTCTCAGGAGGAAAAGTGGTACACCACCAACACTGTTTATAGTGGGGGTGGTGTGCTGCTGACCTCATCTCGGGATGTCATGTTGGGTTGGTGGGTGGAATACTTTGAAGACATCCTCAATCCCAGAGGCACGTCTTTCACTGAGGAAGAGGAGCCTGGGGACTCTGGGTTGGGCCCTCCAATTTCTGGTGCTGAGGTCACTGAGGTGGTTAAAAAGCTCCTCGGTGGCACAGCCCCAGGGGTGGATGAGATTTG